CTCAACAACAATAACAAAAAAAAAAACACTTAAGTAACACTAAGTTTGTTTCAAAATGGAGACGGTTTTTTGTAGCCACGAATGTTTCAGCTACTGAGACAGAAAGTAGGATATATACACCTGCATATACAAACTCCTTGCTTCTCTATAACACCTAGTATTTATCAATAAAAATTATTTTAACCTGTTCTTCTAAATCATATGTAACATATAACTTTATCTTTTAAATCTCTATTACATTTCACTGAAGATAACACTCCCCAAGAATAAACTGGCAATACATTTATAAAACACCAAGGGCCCTGGGCAATAACAAAAGGTTATTCTACAACACAGGTAATAAAATTAGTCTATTCTGACCCATGCACCCATCAACAAAATTAAATCTTGTCTCACTATTTTCCTAGCTTTCATACTAAAACATAATTTACAGGTCATAAAAATTTCAGCTCTTTTTTAAAAAAAAAAATTATCTCAACATTTGCCAACTCTCCCAAGGCAGAGATTTTAATCCTAAGGCATTCCCTCGCTTTCACCTTCTGTAAGGGAGAATTTTCTTTGAGAAAGTACAGGTAATCATATCAAGTAGAGTCATGGTCTGTCTTTAAGACAAAGCAGGAAGAATAGCAGAAATGTTTAAGCTATCATTCTGTCATCTCAAACATCTCACTAACATTCCTGTAGGCTCTCCTCCCTCTTTGCAAACCAAATAATCCTTGCATTTATCATCTGTTTTTAAAAAGTGTGTACAAAGTTCTCTGTATATTTTTCAGTTTTCTGCAAACTTTTGGATTAAAATTAATGTTTTCTTTAAGGCAATATAAGCAGAAGTCTGCACAAACAACTCTACTTCTTCCATGTTCTGTTTCCTAATATTTGCTTAAAATTCCACCTGGAGCCAGGAGCAGTGGCTCACGCCTGTAATCCCAGCACTCTGGGAGGCCGAGGCAGGTGGATCACGAGGTCAGGAGTTCAAGACCAGCCTGGCCAACATGGTGATACCCATCTCTACTAAAAACACAAAATTTAGCCAAGCATAGCGGCAGGCACCTATAATCGCAGCTACTCAGGAGGCTGAGGCAGGAGAATCGCTTGAACCTGGGAGTCGGAGGTTGCAGTGAGCTGAGGCTGAGCCACTGCACTCCAGCCTGGGAGACAGAGCAAGACT